GGTTGCTGCCCCGGGAGAGCAAGCTTTGATATACCAGCATCAAAAACACGCTCAGAGGTTTTGCAGGCAAAATCTGCGACTTGCTCATAAGCTTTGGCTTTTGGCTCGTGGTGATCGTGTTTCTCAAAACGCCGAAGCAGGAGCTGAGGCTGTAACCCTGCGGGATAAGTCAGCTAATACCAGTGTTGCCCTCAGACTGCTCTGATGTGCTATAATGCAATTAGAGCATCACCAAAGGGCTTTCTGGCTGCGCTTGATTAGACTTGGCTTAGTGACCGTGTGCAGTGCCTGGATGGGTCTCACTGGTGTGTACTGGAGCTAAGCCCCTTAAAGCTGGTTTGGGTGTATGGGCACACCTGACACAGAGGTCTGTCTGTAACGTGGCTGGGATCTTCCTGAATTCAGACTCAGCGTGTCAGATCCTGCCGTTCCCCATCCCACCCCATGTCCCCATCTGCCTGTATGTGAACCAAGTCTCCATGGAGAGGGTGGTGAAGCACTGGCACAAGTTGTCCAGGGAAGCTGTGGATGTCCCATCCCTGGGAGTGTCCAAGGCCAGGCTGGATGAGGCTTGGAGCAACCTGGTCTAGTGGAAGGTGTCCCTGCCCATGGCAGGGGGTGGGACTGGATGATTTTTAAGGTCCCTTCTCACCCAAACTATTCCATGATTCTAAGAAGTCAAGGCAGAGATAATCTGCCAGGTCACGGGATCTGGGGAATGATGCATCCACCTCCCAGGCTTTTCCTTCCCCAAAAGCACCACCCTGGTGCCTCCTGGAAGCTTTCTGTGGAAACAGAGGCATGTGGGATGCCCTGTGTCAGAGCCAGCATGAGGGCCGTGGCATGGCTGGAGGGGAGGGACAGCCACTGCAGAGCGCTTGGTGAGATGTTTGTCCCTCTCGTGTCCCCACACAGCACTCTCTCCATCTATGGGATCAACCAGGCGGATGAAGCCATCTACCAGTGCATCGCCGAGAACAGTGCCGGCTCCACGCAAGCCAGCGCTCGCCTGACGGTCCTGTGGGCTGACGGGCTGCCTGGTCCTCCGCAGAGCGTGAAGGCTGAGACGGTCTCTGCAACCACCATCCAGGTGTCTTGGAAGGAGCCTCTGCAGAACACGAAGGAGATCATCGGCTACGTGCTGCACATCCGGAAAGCTGCAGGTAGGGTGCTCTACCCACTGCCCACAGCATCCTCACCCTCCCCATAATTTGATAACACGTCTCTCTAGGTAAACCGGGTCTGCACTGCAGTAGACGGTGCTGCCGCCCATGTTCTCCATCGTCTCCATGTTTCTGAAAGACAGAGATGAGGCAGTAATGCTGATGTAAATGCCAAAAGGGTGAAGCTGCATGGTCAGACCTTACCGCTCGCTTAGATCCCTGGCAAAGCGCTCAGAAATGCCAGCAGAAAATGATGTGGGCAGGTTTATATCCACCTTAGGGACCAAAATTACCACTTGTGACATCCGTCTCTTTACCTCTTGCAAAGCCTAACGCTGCTCTTTTCTCTCTTTGCGCTTCAGATCCCGTAGAGATGGAGTATCAGGAGGCTGTTAGCAAGAGCACCTTCCAGCAGCTAGTGACTGATTTAGAGCCCTCCACCAGCTACAGCTTTTATATAAAGGCTTACACCTCCCGGGGGGCCAGCAAAGCCTCAGACGTCACGGTGGTGAGCACGCTGGGAGAAGGTAAGGACCGCTTCGCGCTTGGACCCTCAGCTGCTGAAACCCGCTGTGCGTAGCAGCAGCGCCGGTCACCCCGACACCCGCTCGGGAGCGCTTTGGCACGTAGCCTGTGGTGTTGATGCTCCTTGTTTCCACTCCTCCTCCTACTCTGGGATATTGTGTAAAACTCACTTGTGTCGTTACGCGGGGGTCGACTGGTTGCCTTCAACGCGGCATTGCCTCTTGCAGCGGTTGGTGTTGCTGGGTGAAAGCGCAGGTCTGGCTGGTCTCGTTTTGCAGCTGCTCTGGGCTTTTCCTAAACTGCTGAATGCAGATTTCCCGCTCCAGCAGCTCCTCAGCATGCTCCAGCAGCTCCTCAGCATGCTCCAGCAGCTCTGGTACTCACAGCTCTTACCTGATAGGTGCCACACGTTGTAAAATCTGATTTTTTCCTGCTTAACCCAGGAGGAATCACACTAGAGCTGAGCTGTCCTGACCTACAAATCCCTGCCTTGGAGCAGCCTTCTGTTTTAGTGGGAAGTCCAGGCAATCCCCAAGGCTTTTTCCCTGACTGGGCCTCCCAGATGCGGCCACCAGTTAGCTTCCCCAGTGAGAAAGCGGGTGCTCTGATGCAAGACCGTTGCACACAGACACCAGAGAGAAACCACAGCCCCAGAGCGATCTGTCAGCTGGCTCTTTGGGAAGATTTTCCTGGAGACTCGTGTACCTCTCCAGCACCTCTGAGTCCTGGCTTGTCTCACATACTGATTTCTTAGGAGCGTTGCATTGTCCTCGTGAACCCTCAGTAATTACGGATCTGTGGCAGAGCGGGCCTCTGGTGTGAGGATGTTATTTAGGATCCAGTGAAAGCGTGCGTTGACTTTCAGGTGGGAGATCTAGTTCTCATTCCATTTTCAGCCCTTGCAGATGTTTACTACAACATTTAAGCAACAATGCCAATAAATCCTCATCCTTCTGGGTCATTACCCTGCAAGTTTATTTTCCTTGGTACTCCGCAGGGAATTGGTCACCCTTGGAGTTTGTTTTTCCTTCCAATTTAGAGACAGAAGGATGAACAAAGGCAAAACCTGAAACTCCTTGACCCGATGCTCTGAGTTCAGCTACTGGAGGTAGAAGCCAGCCATGCTTCATAGAGCTTGGTGTTTCTGCAGGAGTCTGGGTCAAGACAGGGAGGACTTTTTGTCATTATTACCTTCAATCACAACAGAAATAGGTGTCCAGTAATGGGATCATAAATCTCCTGGCTTGCTGAAGTTTCAAGGCATCACTGTCCTGCTCCGCTATCCTTTAAAAAGGCTTGTCTTGTGTAACGAAGCTTTGGCAATTAGCTCCACGTTCAGGATGGACAAGCTGGCCTGGTTCAGATCGCTCAACCCCAGCTTGTGTTTGCCTTGTAGGAAGATAAAAAGAGACTGAAAAGGCCCAGTTCTGGCCTGATTTGTTTGCTTTGCTTCACTTGGGGGCCTGTTGCCTTCTGTGTACAGCAGAGAGAGTGGGTCAGAGAGCCAGGATCCAATGCCTTTGGTCACCAAATTAGGGTTTTGCTGCAGATTTGCCTCTTCTCACAGCCAAGAATTTCACCCCGTGACTTCCCGAGGTGCACCGGAGAGCTGTGACTCGCCTGGGCTCAGGCAGCCCCTAGATCCATGCCAGCAGCCTCGGGAAGGGACGGGATTTCCCCGACACGCTGTGTCTTGGCATTGTCATCCCGGCTTGGCGTGATGTGCAAGATATGCACAGAGCTGTGCGCGAAGCCCCGCGGGGGCAGCCCCCCTCGTGTCACCATGCTGCCGTGTCCTGCCTTGCATGGAAAGGACACAGCGGGTGAATCTGCCAGCCAGGGACGGCTCGGCGGAGCTGGGGCAGCGCTGGCCAGCAGAGATGCTGCCAGCTGGAGACTGGTCTGGATGACTGTGTTGTACTGGTGCTGTCTGGAGTAGGGTGAAGGTGCTCAGGGGCAGGGCGGCTTTCGGCTTGGGTAGGTCAGCTTCTCAGGGCTAGAAATAGGCTGAGGATGCGCTTGGCTGAGGCCTCCAATGCATTCTCCAAGTGCGGTGCTCCTTCCTCTGTGCCAGTGATAATTTTGGATGGATAGTAGAAGGGAAGACGCCACAGAGAAGCTACCCAAGGGAACCTTGTCCTCCGTAAACCTCCCTCGTGAGGAAGGTCTGTCTCCTCCCTGTTGTTCTCCTTCACGCCGTTTCACAAATGCCGTGGTATTTTAAATCTCAAACTCTCTCCGCTTCATTAAGCAGCACACACTCCTTGTTCTTGTCTTTTAATGCTTTTTAGGGTTTTCTCCAGGACTTTTTGACATTTCTCTAGGATGAAGACTGTTCCTTTAGTCATCTTCGGCTAAAGACGCCTTCAAGAAGAAAGTTGAAATGACCTGGGGAAAATTCCAAACAGCACGGAAGAGGAAAACAAGTATCCCAGCCCTTAGCATGAGGGAGATGCCTCACTTATAGCAGATCCATATTATGTCTTATATATACTTCTGTGAAGCACCTATACACTGGTGTGTGTACATATATTTACACACACACATACTCCCTCTGTATACACTTACTTGTGTAATAACATTATAAACAGCACATGCATTCTGCGAGTGCAAACATATAATCCGTATTATATATACTCAAAGACTGAATAAATACTATATATTTCATACTTCGAAGGAGAGAGATTCTTGTGGTTTTTATTAAATGTAAGGCTCTGCAACCATAAAATAAAGCCAACTCTTCGCAAATCAGGATGGCCCCCATCAGTGTTTCTTTGTCCATGGGATAATGTGATTTCCCTTTCTCTTGGCGTTTTCACCCGCCATTTGGAAAATGACGCTTTAAGCAAGGGCCCAACTTCTCAGAGTGGGGAGTCAGATAATTCCTACTTTGGCCCTAGAGGGAAATGGGACAACCAGATTTTAAAAAAAGAGTACTTAATTGGATTGCAAAATATGCAGCCTTGGGAAGAACGATCCATTCTGGTATAAATAGGATTTACTCCGTGTTTCGCACCCAGAAATTTCTAAGTACAGCCTTCCCGCCAGTGAAATGCACATCAGAATAAATCATAGCAAGAAAAAGTACTTCAACCCATTTTTCCCCCCTGGCAGTGCTCAGGCAGGATGGGATCTCACTAACCTGACCGAGGACAGCTGCTCCCAGAGTCTTTCCTCCTGAATCCATGGGCGGATGCTCACCGGTCAGCAGGGACTTGTTCCTCTCCCCAGGCTTATTCGGAGAGCGTCGAACAAGGAGAAAGAGAGCATCACTTTGGGAAGAGAGAGGATTGCTCAGAGCCTCCTGCTCACCAGGAGAGATGTCTTTCCTTCCCCTAAATCTCCTCGTGGGAAGCTCGAGCTCTCAGTGCCTGGGAAAAGGCAAACCATTGTGCTGTGCAGGTTCCTCTTAAATGGAGGAAGTGCCCTTTTCAGCTCTCGTCAGTCTTGACTGACACGGCCCTCCTTCATCTTCTTTTCACCATCGCTCGCTCAAGGGTTGTGCTGAACTCTCCGCGAAAGGATGCCAGCAAGGCTGGGTTCGCACTGCTCATCCTTTGGACCCCCCCTTTGGGGAAAAACAAGACAAAAAGCAGCATCAGTCCGAGGCAAGCCTAGCAATCCTTAGATCTGGGAACTTCTGAGCTCGTAATCATGTGGGGCAGGAAAAATAGTTCTGCCACAAAGCCTGGAGGCTGCCGGAGAAGCAGGCAGCTGTTCCACTGGATAATTTTGGTGCAGGGTTTTGGCCAAGCTTGCTGCCTGGTGCAGCAGTGCCGGAAACCCCTTCTCCCTCCCCATGCTGGAGCAGAACCCTGGGCAGGGCAGAGCCTGGTGCTCTGCACCTTCGGAATGCTGCCAAAGGCTGGGTATCCCTGGCTGTCTTCAAGGCCAGGCTGGATGTGGCTTGGAGCAACCTGGTCTAGTGGAAGGTGTCCCTGCCCATGGCAGGGGGGTTGGAACTAGATGATCTTTAAGGTCCCTTCCAACCCAAACCACTCTATGATTCTATGACCTGCTGGGAGCGTTTGGCCTGGGGCTGTTTTGTGGA